ATTTGAAATACATAAATACATAAATTCACAAAAGGATAAACTAAGAATTCTCATATCTAAGAACATGTGCTTAGATGCTCAGTCATGTCTGATCCTTTGTGACCCTATGGACTGTAACCAGCCAGACTCCTCTGTCCATGGATTCTCCAGCAAGAACACTGGAGTGGGTTTCCTCCTCCAGGGAATCTTCCTGAACCAGGGATTGAAACCTGGGCTCCTGCATCTCCTGCATTGGAAGGCAAATTCTTTACCACTATCGCCACCTGGGAAGCCCATCTAGGAACATATGTAAGGCAAATATCAAACAAAACAATGTGTGACTCAGTTGCTGGACATGGAGGGGTGAATTTCGTTGCAAGTGTCATAAATGGCTGAGGGTAAGAAAGAAAAGCTATCCTAAGATTCACAGGATCTAAAAGTTAGGACAAGCTAGATGCTATGGGGAAGCACAGCTTTTCTGGATATTGAACTCTGAGAGAAATCTCTCCCCTGGTTCCTCATAAAAATGACATTGTGATGTATATTAGATGATAGAAAAACATCTTACAAGTTTCACATGATATTTTTCCATGACATGCCTTAATGTAGGCTGATGGCTTGATACTAAAAGATAATTCAGTTAGTCTAAGGGGAGGAGGGACCCCAAATTATTACTTTAGCCAGCCTCCTTTATCAAGATGGGGATTTCTTAACTCTATTCTGACCTGCTTAGGGCTTCCACCGAGGGTAGCAATGTTAAAGCACAGACAGGAGGTGGCCATGCACTGTGGCAGAGATTGGAATGATGTGGGTTCAAACAGAGGAAGCTGAGAAATGGCTGCAGCCACTGGAAGCTAGAAGAGGCGAGAAGGCTCTCCCCTAGAACCTTCAGAGGGGGCCTGGCCCTACTGATGACACCCTGAGCTTAGACTTCTGACCTTCAGAACAGTGACAGGATACAAACCATCCAGTTAGTAGGAATTTGTCAAGGCAGCCCGAGAAAAGTGCTAAGTCTCTTTAGTCACTTCCGACTTTGCAACCCTATGACCTGTAGCCCACCAGGGTCCTCTGTCCATGGGATTCTTCAAGAAGAGTACTGGAGTGGGTTGCCATGCCCTCCTCCAGGGGATCTTCCCAACTCAGGGACTGAACCCTCGTCTCTTGTGTCTCCTGCCTTGGCCAGGTGGGTTCTTTACCACTAGCTGTACCTGGGAAGCCTAAGGAAACGAATGCACGTGCAATATTTCAGGTGACTTGATGCCAGCATTTCCTTTGGATCCATGCTTTATCCTGACCCAGTGATTCTCACCTTGGACTGCCCATTAGAATGGCTTAGAGAGCTTAGAAAAAAGGCTGAAATCTGGGTCACACCCATAGAGATTCTACTTCAGTAGGTGTAGGCTGGCAATGGTGTATAGTCAGAGTTAAGTGCTGCCATTTAATTAGTCACAGCAATTTAATGTCATGAGGATGACACAGAAGTACATGGGGCTGGAACAGCTGTATAAAGTAATTTTTAATTTAGGAGTCTGCTTTGGAGCATAACATTCTATATCTTTATGCTGAAATAGAAAGCATTCTTAGACACTGCCCGAAGCAGTTTTGCCTCAGCTATCTGCACTGACCTTATGACACTAAGAGAATCCTGTTTCCACCATAAGAGAATATGGATGCTCTGACAAGTGAACCACTGTTGCCCATTTGGATGCTTCCCAGAAGAACTGGGGAGGCGTTGCCCTCTAGATTGAAGTTGGACAATGCTTAACTTTAACATAAATCAAAAGATGTCACGTGCGGGCCCTCACTCCAAATTGTCCACTGTCTCTTGATAATTACATATTAGATAATTACAACTTTGTTTTCTTTTTTTTGACTTTGAAAATTCTTTTTTTTATATATTGCGTATCTTTTTTTATTTATTTATATTGGTTGGAGTATAATTACTTTACAATATTGTAGTGGTTTTTACTGTACATTGATATGAATCAGCCATGGATTTACATGTGTTCCCCATCCTGAACCCCCCTCCCACCTTCCACCCCATCCCATCTGTCTGGGTCATCCTAGTGCACCAGCCCTGAGCACTTGTCTCATGCATCAAACCTGGAATGGTGATCTGCCTCACAATTGATAATATACATGTTTCAATGCCACTCTCCTAGGTCATCCCACCCTCGCCTTCTCCTACAGAGTCCAAAAGTCTGTTCTATACATCTGTGTCTCTTTTTCTGTCTTGCATATAGGGTTACATAATTACAACTTTGAATTCTTTGTGGCATAGTTTGTTCTTGTTGTTCAGTCACTAAGTCGTGTCCAACTCTTTGTGACCTCATGAACTATAGCACGCCAGGCTCCTCTGTCCTCCACTGTCTCCTGGAGTTTGCTCAAATTCATGTCCATTGAGTTGGTGATTCTCTCTAGCCATCTCATCCTCCACTGCCCCCTTCTCCTTTTGCCTTCAGTCTTTCCCAACATCAGGGTCTTTTCCAATGTGTTGGCTCTTCGCATCAGGTGGCTGAAGTATTTATTAGAGCTTCAGCTTTAGTATCAGGCCTTCCAGTGAATTGGGAAAGGAATACATCAAAGTTCCAAATTGGGAAAGGAGTACGTCAAGGCTGTATCTTGTCACCCTGCTTATTTAACTTACATGCAGAGTACATCATGAGAAATGCTGGACTGAATGAAGCAGAAGCTGGAATCAAGAATGCTTGGAGAAATATCAATAACTTCAGATATGCAGATGACACCACGCTTATGGCAGAAAGTGAAGAAGAACTGAAGAGCCTCTTGATGAAAGTGAAAGAGGAGAGTTAAAATGTTGGCTTAAAGTTCAATATTCAGAAAACCAAGATCATGGCATCTGGTCCCATCACTTCATGGCAAATAGAAGGGGAAACAGTGAAAACAGTGACAGACTTAATTTTCTTGGGCTCCAAAATCACTGCAGATGGTGACTGCAGCCATGAAATTAAAAGACGCTTGCTCCTTGGAAGAAAAGCTATGACAAATCTAGACAGTGTATTAAAAAGCAGAGACATTACTTTGCTGACAAAGGTCCATATAGTCAAAGCTATGGCTTTTCCAGTAGTTATATATGGCTATGAGAGTTGGACCATAAAGAAAGTTGAGCACTGAAGAATGGATGTTTTGAACTGTGGTGTTGGAAAAGATTATTGAGAGTCCCTTGGACTGCAAGGAAATCAAACCAGTCAATCCTAAAGAAAATCAATCCTGAATATTCATTGGAAGGACTGATGCTGAAGCTCCAATAATTTGGCCACTTAGAACTGACTGATATGAAGAACTAACTCATGGGAAAAGACCCTGAGGCTGGGAAAGATTGAAGGCAGGAGGAGTATGGGATAACAGAGGATGAGATGGCTGGATGGCATCACTGACTTAATGGACATGAGTTTGAGCAGGCTGTGGGAGTTGGTGATGGACAGGGAAGCTAGACATGCTGTAGTCCATGGGGTCGCAAAGAGTCAGACATGACTGAGAGACTGAACTGAACATCCAGTGAATTTTTAGGATTGATTTACTTTAGGATTGACTGGTTTAATATCTATTTTCAGTCCAAGGGACTCAGAAGTCTCCTCCAGCATCTCATTGGAAAGCATCAATTCTTTGAAATTCAGCCTTCCTTATAGTGTAACTCTCACATCCTCTGAACACTACTGCTTGAAAAACCATAGCTTTGGACTACATGAACCTGTGTTGGCAAAGTAATGTCTCTGCTTTTAATACTTTGTCTAGGTTTGTCATAGCTTTTCTTCCAAGAAACATGCATGACACGGTACTTTATGTATTTAAAAAGAAAACCTGCTGCAGAGATGTGCTGAACAGAATGGGTGCTAAGTGACTTCAGTCGTGTCCAACCCTTTGTGACCCCAAGGACTGTAGCCCACCAGACTCTTCTCTCCACGGGGTTCTCTAGGCAAGAATACTGAGGTGGGTTGCCATTTCTTCCTCCAGGGGATCTTCCCAACCCAGGGGTCGAACCCACTTCTCTTAAGTCTCCTGCATTACCAGGCAGTTCTTTACCACTAACACAACCTGGGAAACCCTGAATAGAATAGAACGTTATTGTTTGGAGGGAAGAGGATCCTCACTGTGAGTTGTGGAACAAAGCAATTCCTTGTACGTCAGCCCTCAATAAGTGTTTCTTTATTTGTGAAGTTGTGTGACAGCCTGTAGTGGTCTTTGGAAGCACATCAGGGAGCAGTCAGGAGTGAACGGCTGTTAGCAGTGGGGTTGATCTCTGAAGGGCTTTTGACGACAAGCTCACTGCATCTATTGACTCCCTGGGAAGTCTGAGGTCACAGGCTTGGCCAGAGCACATGAGCCCAGATAATGAAGATGGTTTTGCCCTCTTGAAACAAAGCCAGACATTTTATCTACTTCATTGTGCACTCTGGGTCATGTGCTAACGATGGGGATTTGTCTAATACTAATCCCGCTAATGACGGCTTCTCCCAGCCCTTACACAAACCCCACCAGGCCCCGTGATTTGGCAAGCCAGACAGAATAAAGGCAACACGGCATTTGGCTTTTGAACTGAGTTCAAGGCAATTAAAGTCATGGGCTAAGGAGGGAAGGAGGGGGTTCAGAAATACCAGTATAATAAGTACCATGACTGGAGCGCTCCGTCAATTAACTCAATTAGACAAAGCCTGTTTCAACCAGGGAAGGCGGTGAGAAGCGCTCCCCTCATTAAATCAGGCTGTTAGAGGCGCTTCTGATGGAATGAAATTTGTTTTAGCGGTTTGCATCACATAAAGTCGTCTGTGTGTGTGCATGTACACAAGAGCACACATGTGGGTTCTGTAATTTTTGTGGGTCTTTTTTTCAAGAGGAGAGGAATAGAAGGCAGATCCAAGATATACTCCCTAAAACGTAAATTTCCCCCAAGTCAAAAAGCGGGTGAATGCTCAAGAGCCCAAGAGGGGAAGACCAGGAGAAAGCTGGAGAGAAGCAAGGAGTGGAGACGAGAGAGAGAGAGTTCTTCCGGTCCTAAAGCCATGAGCCCCCTTGGGTGGGGGCTTCTGCTAGGCTGCCTGGGCTGTGCACTCCCGCCGGGGGCCCGGGCGCAGTTCCCCCGCGTCTGCATGACGGTGGGCAGCCTGCGGGCCAAGGAGTGCTGCCCACCGCTGGGTGCCGACCCCGCCAACGTCTGCGGCTCCCGGGAAGGCAGGGGCCAGTGCGCGGAGGTGCAGACCGATACCAGGCCCTGGAGCGGTCCTTACGTCCTGCGCAACCTGGACGACCGAGAGCGATGGCCCCGGAAGTTCTTCGACCGGATCTGCAGGTGCACAGGTGAGGGCGGCAGGCGGATGTGCACATGCGCACAGCTGGGTGGGGCTGGCCCGCTAATGGAGGAACCCCTTCCAAGGCAGAGATGCTCAGTCTAGGCTTTGAAAGGCAAACCAAGTTGGTCCATTGGCATTGAGTAAGGCTGATGTCTGGGTATATTCTGCACACCCGTTAGTAGATCTAGTTATGAGAACTAAAGAAATATTCCATGGGCCATGCTTGGTTCTATGAACGCGTGCCAGCACACCATGGGCTTGTCTGTTGGCGAGGGAAGCTAAAGAGTCCCAGAGTCAGCTTTGAAATCCAGAGCAAGTCCTTTCAAGATGGATTCGGTGCCCTCTCCTTCTGGGATGGGTTCGCACTTGTTGAAGAGGGAGGGTGGGTGATTCTTGGCATCGGTTAGACAGACGTCGGGGGGTAGGTGTTCTGTAGTTCGAGTCTCAGCATTACTAACCATCTGAACAGGTCTCAAGCAGGATATATCTTGCTCGTGAAGGTTATGACTGGCTTGTAACTTTGCCATCCTTGGGGAGATGTAAGGACAGAGCTGAAGAAGGGAGGGTAGTTTTTAGATAACAATGGGCTTTTTTCACTCCTGTCTGGGTGTGATGTGAGCATCTCAGAATTTATACAGTATCCCTCTTTCAGACCTTGGCCTCTCTTATTACCTGTTTTTTTGAAATCTCTGTGCACTTCTTACTTCTTTCGCTCTTCTGAGCCTTCTCAAATCCTCTTTAGTGGGGCTCCTCTCCAGTGTTCAGCAAACATGCACAGCAGTGATAAACACTCAAAGGCTGGCAGGGCATGTGAAGCACACACACAAAAACATAAGCAGCAACTTTAGCAAAGCCCTTGGAAACTGTTTTACAGTGTCCAGCTGCCTAAGAGGTTTTCCTTTTTAATTATGTTTTTATTGATGTTCTTATATGATGTTAGAACATAGGAGAATATAGATAATTGAGCTATGTAAGGACATTAAAAAGGTAAACTAAGAATGTACAAATGGCTGTGATATAAGAATGAGATCAGGTTTCTTTTCTAACTGAAAATTCTGAAGCTATTTTATATAGAATGGATAAACAAGGCCCTTTGTATAGCACAGGGAACTATAGTCAATACTGTATAAGAAATCATAGTGGAAAAGGAAAAACTCTGGCTTTATAATCATTATTTTGTAGTCATATTGTTAATTCTGTAATTCAAAGGATTTGTTAGTTTTGTCTTGGGGGTATTAATTGTGACAAAATGTTTGTAATAACATGTTGAATGTATACTATTCATTTTTTTCTAATCTAATTGACCACTTGCTTCTGTAGACATCTCATAGATTCTCACAGTTTTTTAATCTAATGAGATGCAGCAGGTTTCATATTACTTGTGGGATTGGAAACCACACTACACAGTGACTTCTTTGCTGGTGACTCAAAAATTCTTCTGGAAAGCTTATTTCCAGGTCAGTCAATGATAGAGTGCCACAAGTTAGAAACTTTGGGAATCTCCATTTTATGGAATCCTGGCAGCAGAAGACATTAGGAACTCAGGTATAACTGTTAACTCTCCTTATCACTACCCATACCTGGACTTCCCAGGTGGTACAGTGGTGAAGAATCCACCTGCCAATGCAGGAGGCGCAGGTTCAATCCCTGGGTCAGGAAGATCCTCTGGAGAAGGAAATGGCAACCCACTTCAGTATTCTTGCCTGGAAAAACCATAAACAGAGGAGCCTGGTAGGCTACAGACATGGGGTCCCAAAGGGTCGGACAGAACTGAGCAACTGAACACATACACGCATATCACCATCTACTGTATCTTTCTGACCTGACTAGGAAGGTTGTTTTGTTTTTTTTTTAAAGTGAAATGGAAGGAATCAGCGGTGGCAGAATAGAAGAGATAATTGCAGTCTCCCTATCCTGAGAGAGTACTTATAAATATTCCCTCTAGAAGTGGCAGTAACTTTGGGTCACAGTGACCTACTTTCAAAATGTTCTCAGGAGGATGTGTGCGCTCAATCGCTCATTTGTGTCCAACTGTTTGCTACCCCCATGGACTGGAGGAGCCACCAGGCTCCTCTGTCCATGGAATTTTCCAGGCAAGAATACTGGAGTGGGTTGTCCTACTTCAGGGGATCTTCTTGACCCAGGTATTGAACCCGTGTTTCCTGTGTCTCCTGCATTGACAGGTGGATTCTTTACCACTGTGCCATCTGAGCTTCCCAGGTGGCACAGTGGTAAACATACCTAAGAAGGCAGTGGGCCAGAAACAGGGCCTGACCTGTAAGTCCAGAAGGACATCATGTATCTGTAGACCAATCAAAGGAAGCAGGGTGTATGGTCTCCATCTCCAGCCATTGTCAAGGCCAGAACTGCCTCTTAGAACTCCTTGTCTCCCTCCTCTGAGATTTGATCTGTCTAGACTCATTCAGGACCATAGCTCTTTCCATCCCAGCTTTGGATTGACTCCACTTATGTTGTCTAGATGGTCTTTTTTTCTTTGAGCCTCAGGACACCAGACTAAGTCCTTAGTGATTGGGCTGGACAGGTATTTAGTATATCCAGTAATCACTGTAATGTGTCATATGCCCCAAAGCAAGACATATGTTTTTCAGTTTATTCTCCCTAAAGAGTGAATTGCTTGCTTTCTTAGGCTAATTTCTTCATGATGTAGGAGGCAGTCTTCAGAAGTTAAACCTCATCTTCAGTGCCCAAAGTACCCCCCGCCCCCGCCATAACCTCAAAATTCTTTGGCAAGTAGATTCTTCTAGTGTCACCCCAAATTTATTAATGAGATGTAGATAGCAACAAGGCTGTTGATGACCTCGGAACTTTGTTAATTCCGTGGAAATATAAACACACCATTCATCTGTTAATGGACATTGAGATTGTTTCTTTATCTTGGTCGTTGGGGATAATGCTGAAATGAGCATGGGAATCTCAGTATCTTTGTGAGATCCTGATTAACATTCTTTTGGATAAATACTCAGAAATTGGATTGCTGGATTGTATGGTAGTTTAATTTTTAATTTTTTTGAAGAATCTTCATACTATTTTCCACAGCAGCTGCATCATTTTGCATTTCCATCAGTAGTGTGCAAGGGTTCTAATTTCTTTGCATCCTAGTCAGATGGTATGTATTTGCAATTTAATGCTATTCAGCCCTAGAAAAGAAGGAAATTCGGCAGTATGCGGCAACATGAATGAACCTTGAGGACATTGTGCTAAGAAGATAAGTCAGCCACAGAAAGACAAATACTGGATAATTCTATGTACATAAGGCATCTGAGATAGTCGAGTTCATATAATCAAAGAACAGAATGGTAGTTACCAGGAGCTGGGAGGGAGGGGAAATAAAGATTTAATAATCAGAGGCCATAAAGTTTCAGTTAATCAAGACGAATACGATCTGTACAGTGTTGTATCTAGAGTCAACAGTAATGTTTTAAACAATTAAATGTGTGTTAAGAGGGTAGATCTCATGTAAAGTATTCTTAGCACAGTAAAATAAAAATAAAAAGAACCACCCATAGTCTCCATGATCTTGAAGTTGGTAAAGGATTTTAGCTCAATAAAAATAAATAAATAAAAACTCTGATGGGAAAAAACCCCTAAATTATGTACTCAAATTCTCTAGAGAGAACTTTTGTATTCTCTGTGGAGATAATTTCAAACTGAAAAATTATCGAACTTAATTTTCAAGAAGAGCTTAATTTCAGGAGATCTTGGCATCAGAGAGTCACCTTCCAAATCTTACCTGCCAATTGGCATTCCTGAGAAAAGACCAGTTGCAGCTGTGTTTTTGGACTTTTGAAAAACATGTGCATCAAATGGGTTTTGAACAATTGCCTGAGAATTTCTTGTCGTACAACTAAGTGCCTCCATATTCCAGTCTCTAAAATGGGGATAATGATGAAACCACACTTGTAAAATCCTTTTGAGCTTTGTAGATGAAAGGCCTCATGTGAGTGTAAAGTATTGTTATTAATATAATAGAATCTCTAATTAAAAGAAATAGGCTATTTAGAGCTCCTTGTAAATTCACTAATCGGTGGTCTTTAAACTTATTTAGTCTAATAGCCTTTGGAGGTTGAGCTGATGTGGTTCATGTAGGAACGTGCATTCTTTTGTTGTTCTCATTCTTTTTCCATTTTTATCCTAGTCCTAAGTAGGTATAAGGCTTTGTCTTTTTAAATTTCATTTTTGCTCAAGGACATATTAAATAACAGATAGACTGATATCTAGGGACCTTTTACTTTTTCTCTCTCCATTCCCCAGTGAGATAATGCCATCCTTCCTAAAGGGTCTCCTTTTTTTTTTTAAACTGTTGCTATCAGTGGATTAATGGAAAAACTCAACTCATTAAATTAATATAAGGGACTGCTAGGAAATCTAAATTAAAGAAATAAACATTTTGTGTGGTAAGCTTTTATGTTACTGCATTTTTCAGTTGTCTTCAGTATTTTAACAAATTCTTTAGACCAGGTTTAGAAGCACAAATATGAAAAGGAGCTGACTGCAGAGCTGTGGGTATGTTTTCTCTGAGACATGCTGGAAAAGGGATTTTTTAAAAAGTCAAACACATTTCTAGGTAATAGGCGAGCTCAAATCCACACAAACGCTTTCTTATTAGCATTTCTGCATTGCTTTTCAGGGACAACTTTGGCTTTGTGAGAAGAGATGGCTTTGTTCAACACAGTTGTGAACCATCTCTGATCTTCTGTCAGAATGAATCATTTCATCTTCTGTCATCCATGGTGCTCAGTTAATTCTTGTTTTCACTTTTCCCATAGCTAGGCTGGTGTTGATATTTCATCGCACTCATGTTCCTCATACCACTAGATGAAGGCACCGAGCCTGATTTATATTTATATCCTCTAGCACTTAATGCCTTTTATCCAGTTATTCATGACTCCTTCATCAACCACCTAACCAATGTTTATTTAGCACCAATTATGTTAGGTCCTTCAGATACTGAGGGGAAAACCCCAACATGATTTTTGATATGTCCAAATGTGCTGGTTGAGTAAGACAGGTATGAAAACAAATACTTAAAGACTATGAGATTTGATTAGTGGTAACTTGTAAAACTAGTAATGATAAAGCTTCATATAGAACTTGCTATGTACCAGTACTGCTCTATGTTACCATGATTGCTTCCTGTAAGAACACTGTATTCCAATAGGACAGGTTTTGAGAGGTCAAGTCCACAGTAATCAAGTGTGGCAGTTGTATGAATGTACATAAATATGTGAGTGTGCAGAGAAGAGCATGTTTAATTTTGACCTTTCTTTAGGTAATAGGTGCTAATAAATTATTTGTTGAGTAAATGAATGAGGAAGATAGTTATTGGTAATTTAGTTTTCAGCAACCAAAAAGAATATTGGTAGAGAAAGTGCAGAGATCTTAAAACTCATGGCCTAGGTTATGAATTACTCAGTTTTAATAATGAGACACCAAAATTCAAAGACAAATTTTATTCCTTTAAATCTAGAAATATATTGAATTTATTGTTTCAAAATGTGTGCATGCTATTTCTTAACATTTAAAAAGGAAGCAATTGCTCTCCTGTTGTAGAGTTGTAACTGCATATTCACCTCTGATCATCAGGCCTTGGGGAAACAACTGGAAGTTTGTGTATTTAGTATCCTTCACGTGCATTTTGTTCAATCACTTTTCAAAAAATACTCTGCTCCTATGCTGCTGGTGAGTCACTTCAGTCATGTCCAACTCTTTGCAACCCCATGGACTATAGTCTTCCAGGCTCTTCTGTCCATGGGGATTCTCCAGGCAAGAATACTGGAGTGGGTTGTCATGCCCTCCTCCAGGGAATCTTCCCAACCCAGGGAAGGAACCTGCGTCTCTTATGTGTCCTGCATCGGCAGGTGGGTTTTTTGCCACTGGCACCACCTGGGAAGTCCACTCTGTTCCATTAGAAACTGTGAAAGTGGAGGGACGTATTTCAATCAAGATGTTTTAAAAATAGATATGATTCAATTATAGTAGGCACCCCAAGAGAAAATAGATAGACTCCAAACTCCATGAAGAGCGAAGTACCTTGCATAACATCTGATACTGTAGTAGCCGTTGAATAAGTATTGATTAAATAATTTATATTTAATAGCTTCACCTGAGTGATCAACATAAATTTTAATGTTTAAGCTGTTCAAAAACTTGATTTTCAGTCTTAGGACTAGTAGAATTTTTCCTTTTAACTATTATTTCAAACTTAATTTTTCATTTGGTGTTGAAACAGGAAAATGCAAATCAAGCTAAGTAAAGGTAGGTAAATGGCTTCCCAGGTGGCACCAGTGGTAAAGGACCTGCCTGCCAATGCAGAAGACATAAGAACTGTGGGTTCTATCCCTGGGTCGGGAAGATCCCCTGGAGGAGGGCATGGCAACCCACTCCAGTATTCTTGCCTGAAGAATCCCATGGACAGAGGAGCCTGGTGGGCTACGGTCCATAGAGTCGCAAAGAGTCGGACACGACTGAGGTAACTTAGCACGCATGCACACAAGGATAGGTATGATATTTTGTATATTATAAAGAGCATAGGACTACCCCCCTCTCAAATTCTTCCTACTTATGATATTTTTAAGGGCATTTCTTTTAACCATAGAAAAATAGCAGACTGTATTTTCTTTATACAGGACACATGCTCATTTTGTTTTCATGCTGTTGGAAAATTTTCCTTTCCTTTAGAGATCCAAATAACCCTCTTTTTTATATTTTTATTTATTTATTTGGCTGTGTAGGGTCTTAGTTGTGACTCTTCGCTGTGTCATGTGGGATCTTTCTTTGTGGCAGTACGGACTCTCTAGTCATGCTACACGGGCTTGTTGCTCCTCAGCATGTGAGATCCTAGTTCCCCAAATAGGGATTGGACCTGTGTCCCCTGCATTGCAAGGAGGGTTCTGCACCACCAGGGAAGTCCCTAACCTTCTCTTTACCATGGTCATAGTATGTTTTACTTACATCTATTTTGGTACTTGCAGTTTATCAAAATTACTTGCAGGGCCTGCTTTTCCTTCTGATTCACAAGGACAGGAAGAGAAAGGAAGAAGAAAATTGAGAATTATTGAATCCATCTGCTACATGCTTTTTATATCCTTTTTTTAATTTAAAAATTTTTAATTTCAACTTTATTGATGTATAAATGGCAAATAAAATTGTAAGATATTTAAGGCATCCATTGTGATGATTTGGCCTTTTGCTCCTTTCATTCATTAAATGAAGATTCATTCATTCATCCAAGGCCCAGCATAGGCCTAGGCAGCAGGATAATTGCCTTCCAGGTGCCTGCAGCTGAGCCAGTAGATGTCTACAATTGCCACAATTAATTCAATGAAAAAAGAAATAGGAGGTGTCATGGGAGCACAGCTTGGGGGTCATCTGACCGTGATGTGTGGGATCAGGGATGACCTTTAGAGAGCCCATTGTGCAGCTTAAAGGAGGAATAGGCAAACTAAGTGAAGAGGAAGGTAGTAAGACTGTGAGGGAAAAGTGTTCAAAATAGAAGCAAGAGCAAGTAAAAAGATCTGGGAGGAAGAGGAGGAGGAGAAGCAGGAAGCTGACACGTTAAATGTTTCACACAACCCCCAGGAGATAAGTTATTGCCCTCTTTTGTTTCAACACACAAACAATATTTAAGTGTTTACTCTCTAACTTATCACTACCTAAGGAATGAGATGCTGGTCAAACCAAATGCAATGAAAGTCAAAGTCAAAGTGTAGTCGTTTAGTCATGTCTGACTCTTTGTGGCCCCGTGGACTGCAGCCCACCAGGCTCCTCTGTCCATGGGCATTCTCCAGGCAAGAATTCTGGAGTGGGATCCAGGATCCCACTTCTCCAGGGGATCTTCCTGACGCAGGGATTGAACTGTGGTCTCGGCATTGCAGGCAGACTCTTTACTGTCTGAGCCACCAGGGAAACCCAAGTGTAATAAACAAGGCTGAACAGGGAAAAGTCAACCTAAAATATTTCAGTTTTAGACGCTAAACAGAAAGAGGCCTGGAGTTTGGTATGACTAGTACTCTGTCCCTGGGATGATAAAATGGATGAGCAGTTTGTGCAGAGATGGGCAACCCTGCAGTGATTTGCACTTTCTGACACTAGGGCCACTAATTCACCTTTATGACCTGCTAGCCTCCATTGATTTTGTCTTAACTCTGTCTGCTTTGTAACATAAACCAGCTTTTTAAATGTTGGATTTCACCTAAATTCTTGGAAATCAGTTTATTTATTTTGGTTCCCCCTTTAGCTTGGTATATATTCTCTTCCTTCTGTAAATCAATAACCTTCTGCATGTGCTTCAGGGGAGAGGGACCAAGCAGGGATGACATTTGAGGCTGCAGCTCTGTCCCAGGAAGGGACATCTGACATGATCCATGAGTGGAACAGATGGCAGCACGTGTCTTGGTCTCCCAAGGCTTCCGTAACAAAGGACCACAGACTGGGTGGCACCCAGAAACTCACTTTCTCACAACTCTGAAGGCCTGACATCCCAGATCAAGGTGTCAGCAGGGTGTGTGTCTTGAGGTATTGTTGTGTCCTGACACCCCTCTCTGAGTCCAAATTTCCTTTTCTTAAGTGGACACCAGTCATGTTGGATTAACCACACACCCCCTCCCTGCTCCACCACAGTGCCTTCATGTTAACTTACTTTTTTTAAAGACCCTATCTCCAAAAATAGCCCCCTGAGTGCTAAGGGTTAGAACTTCAGCATATGAATTTGGTAGGGATGCAATTCAGCTCATAACACCATGGAATTTATTTCATGTCCTGTTTCTTTGCTGGGAATATTTCTAGAAACTCTCTGGTGTTCAGTCCCCTTGGAGAGACAAACATTTCAAGCAGAGCGCAAGGAAAGGCAACTGACCTTCTCTTCCGTTCTACTCCAGAAATTTCTTCCAAGCTACATAAGCTTACTTCTTCTTCCATCTTTCCCTTAATTTCTCAAATGCACTAGGAAACTTCGCCGGCTATAACTGTGGAGACTGCAGGTTTGGCTGGACCGGCCCCAAATGCGATCAGAAGAAACCATTGGTTGTCCGGCAAGATGTCCATTCCTTGACCCCTCAAGAGAGGGAGCAATTCTTGGGCGCCTTAGACCTCGCAAAGTACACTCCGCACCCCGACTACGTGATCACCACGCAACACTGGCTGGGACTCCTGGGGCCCAATGGGACCCAACCACAGATCACCAACTGCAGCATTTATGATTTCTTTGTGTGGCTCCACTATTACTCTGTCAGAGATACATTATTAGGTGAGCTTCTCCCCCTTTACCTTAAGGTATCTTATGGGCGTCCTAGGTGGTTCGGTGGTAAAGAATCTGCCTGCTAATGCAGGAGCTGCAGGAGACTCAGGTGTTCTGAAATCGTGCTCTATTTGCAATTATCCTCACTTTTGAGGCTCCTGGTTGGGGTTAGGGTGAGTGAAGACACAGCACTCACTTTGAATAGTAAGATTCTCATTTGGAATCTGTCCTTGTGTTTGGGCTTCCCTGGTGGCTCACCAGTAAAGAATCTGCCTGCAATGCAGGAGACTTGGGTTCCATCCCTGGGTTGGGAAGCTCCCCTGGGGAGAGGATGGCAGCCCACTCCAGTATTCTTGCCTGGAGAATCCCATGGACAGAGGAGCCTGTCGGGTTACCGTCCTTAGCGTCACAGAGTCAGTTGCGACTGAGCACAGCACAGCCCTTGTGTTTATCACTCATTCCCCCTCCTCATTTTGTTTTGAGAACTTTAAACTTTGTTCTGCATTAAAACATTTACAAAGGGTTGCCTAGCCAACAGCAGCGACAGCAGTTTTTCCCCTCAGTGTGGGTCTTTTTAAAACTTGCCTCACAGGTAAGCATCTGTCTTTCTGTGTCGATAGATACGGAGGCTCTTCCGGCTATAAACCTTTATAGTTTTCCTGTCATCACTCTGAAGAATTTTTGCTTTATGAGAGGGTAGTCTCTCAAGAGGAAAAGAAAACTATAGTTTCTGGTCGCATCTAGGAATTAAATTTATATTCATGTCTGTTCATCTCTCTGAAGTTATTATGGGGACTTCGAAAAAGAACTAAAGTTACCTCAAGTTTCTACATAACCATCAAAAGCTGTTATAAAACGGAGAAGAAGGATTGGAAAGGCAGTAAGGAGGTCATTAAATCGCCCAAAGCTTTTCACTAAAATTGGCAGTTCCAGAGGCCAGCCAAATTGGTTGGAATGTATTTTTCCTCTCTTCTGGTCACGGCAACCATGCTTGTCAGCTAATAGTTGTAACTGATTGATGGCTGAGGCAAAACCCGTGAAAGTTCCTTTTGGTTCCAAATGCTGAATTCAGACTAAGTGTAGTTGAAGTTGCTTTGTTCTACATTAATCGCTCCCTATAAATGCAGGCATTTGTAAGGAATGGGTTAGAAAAAGTCTTTTAAAATATATTTCATTTAGATCTTAATGATCTGTTCTTTGGGATACTCTTATTTTATCTTCCTAAAGCACTGCTTAAAAATTAAATTAACTTTATAATATAAATAATAATATAATATAATTTATAACACTGTTATAAATTAACAGGAGCTCTTAAGATGACCTGAGTTTCTCTGGATCTCTGCTGACCATCAGACTTTTGAGAGATGAAGGAGAATTTATCCTGAAAGTGCTATTTGCCTCTGAGATTGTTTTGTTGTGGTTGTTGTTTTCAGAGGAATAAATGACAAAAACAGCTGTTTTCCCTTATGGTTGCCAAAGAGGAAAGGTGGATGGGGAGATTAACAGACACACACTGCTGTATATAAAATATTAATAGATAAACAATAAGACCCTATTGTATAGCCCAGGGAACTATATTCAATATCTTGTAATACCACAATGAGAAAGAAGAAAAAAATATATATATATGTGCTTCCCAGGTAGTGCAGTGGTAAAGAATCTGCCAGTGTAAGAGACGTAGATGCATTCCCTGAGTCAGGAAGATCCCCTGGAGAAGGAAATGGTAACCCACTCCAGTCTGCTTGTCTGGAAAATCCCATGGACAGAGGAGCCTGGGGGGCTGCAGTCCATGGGGTCCCAAAGAGTTGAATACAACTGAACGTGTGCATGCGTATGCACACATGCACACGCACACGCACACACACATGCATTCAGCAAACTGAATCACTTTGCTTTCCCTGAAACATTATGAATCAGCTATTGCTTCAATAAAAATTAATTAAAAAAATCCAGCTGTCCAGCGCATCCCAGGTAAGGTTCACGTTAAAAAATTCTATTCTGTGACCTCTAACATATTTCCCAATTGTTTTAGGACCAGGGCGCCCATACAAGGCTATAGATTTCTCACACCAAGGACCTGCCTTTGTTACCTGGCACAGGTACCACTTGTTATGGCTGGAAAGGGATCTCCAGGTTGGTTGAAAGTTTCTTTTAATTTTGCTATGTATTTGGGCAAGACCCGTGTAAGTCTTTGCTTCCTGCATTTTCTTGTTGTTTCTGATGACATGAATTGAATGTCTGGTCATGCCCTTTGCTTTTAGCGCCTTACTGGCAACGAGTCCTTCGCTTTGCCCTACTGGAATTTTGCCACAGGCAGGAACGAGTGTGACGTGTGCACAGACCAGCTCTTCGGGGCAGCAAGGCAAGACGAGCCGACTCTGATTAGTCAGAACTCCCGATTCTCCAGCTGGGAGATTGTCTGTGATAGGTAATGATATGGGTACCTGCTGTGGAAATCCAAGAGACCGGGTTTCCTCATGTCTGAGAGATGGACAGTCACTTTACAATTCTGTTTCTAATGCGTGATGAATTCTGTTTATATGTTTCTGAAAGTTATTTTCCTGTAAGAAATAGGATTTTTAAAAATCCTGAGTCCTTTAGTAAAAAAAAAAATAGAGGTATGGAAATCACACTTATAAACTGAGTGTGCTTGGCCATCACTTTGAGATCCACTGTTTTAAAATGAGAAGTGTTTTCTGTATTCAGCCAACATGTCTTAAGCTCTGATCATATTCTAAGCAGTTTAATAGTGCTGGGAATACATGGATGAATAAAATACAGCCTTCCTTTGGAATATCATCTTATACTTACAAAGGTAGGGGGCCGGTAAACAAATTACAGTACAACGTGAGAAGTTATTTTAATAGGTGTGTGTGCAAAGCCAAGAAGAGAAGCAGGGAAAGTCTTTAGGAGGTGGAGATGATTATCCTGACACTTCAAGGAGGCACAGACCTTTCAACCAGAGGTGAGGGAAGGTGGTGTGTCCTTGGTGGGGGCAACATTATCTTATAAAGCTACAAAAGCCTCTAGAAGTTGTCTGGTATGGCTGGACCACAGGTTTCTGGGGAGTAGAGGGGAACAGGATTTGCAGTGGGGAGATAGATCTTTAAAGTACTAAAACTGGGTCATGTGCAGCTGGTGTGTGAACTTTTATTCTACCATAAGTCATACCAACATATGTTGGTTATTAAAAAAAATAAAATACTAAAGTACACGCAAGCAGCCAGTAGCTCATGAAGAATTCTGTCCTCAGTGATTCCTTGAATATGTTTCTTTCCGAGCACACATCTCAGGAACAGACTCCCCAAGCAGCTCTTCTGTCTCTCTGCATTTGTTTGTTTCCTCCACAACCCTCCGGTGTTGAACCCTGCTGTACTAACACCCTTGTCCTGTGTCTTTGGACTGCTCCATGGCACAGAGCATTGCCGTCCACACCCCAGGCTGGGCATGCGCGTGTTTTGGGGACTCCAGCTCACAGGGACCCCATCTTCTCCATCCTGAGCTTTTCCTACAGCCCTCTAGAGAGTGCCCGTGGGGATGTAGTTAAGTGCTGCGTCTGTGACTCTGAGTCATTCCAGAAGGCTCCATGTCTCATAGTGTCCTGGGCTATTAGTTGGTGATATGTGAAAAGAGATTTCTCTGATCAGATACATTTAGAGAATGCTGAGCTTAAAAAGCCTTTAGAAGTTTTAGGATGTTTCAGAGCCTTTAAGTAACTGTATTCTTATTTTTCAAGAGGGGCTTAAACTTACCTGACCCTGACACCCTTAATTTCACAGGCCGTCTCACTGGAACGCTCTGGGAAAGGCAGCTTTTGGAAGCTGTTTCTGCCTAGTTTTTAGGCACCAGCCTATTTCATCTTCCTGTGTGCTCTGATTCTATTCTCACACACCCAGTATGATTCCCTCACCCATTAAAATCCACACAGAAACGTCTTTAAAAATTTATGTCTACCAAATGAAATACTGCTCTGATGGTGGAATTCCAGGCCGCAACAGGCACGTGGGATATAATCTTATGGGCAGGGGTCCCCAGCCTCTGGGATCTAATGCCTGATGATCTGAGGTGGAGTCAATGTAATAATATTAGAAAAAAAGTGCATAATAAGTATAATGCACTTGAATCATTCTGAAACCATCCCACCACCCCCACCCGCCAAGCCAGTCTGTGGAAACATTGCCTTCCCCAAAATCGGTCCCTGGTGCCAGAAAGGTTGGGGCCCACCTTCTCAGCCTCCGTGTTTACCAAGTAACCATCCCAACCTTAGAACATTTTCTAACACGGCATTTCTCCTAATTCCTCTCCTCCATATAGTATCATCTGTTTTGACTCTGACCTCTTCCATTTGTCTTCATTTTGCCTGGAATGCTTTCCTAGCTTCACTTCTGCCAAACTGGCTTAGTGAAAGTCGCACAGTCGTGTCCGACTCTTTGCTACCCCAAGGACTATACAGACCATGGAATTCTCCAGGCCAGAATACTGGAGTGGCTAGCCTTTCCCTTCTCCAGGGGATTTTTCCAACCCAGGGATCAAACCCACGCCTCCCACACTGCAGGCAGATTCTTTACCAGCTGAACCACCAGGGAAGACCATGTGTGCTGGATGCTTGAATTTATCAGATCAAACTGGCTTAGTTCACTGTTAATACAGTCTACCCTGGTCTCTCTTCAGTTACTCCAAATTCAAATGCACGTACGATAGGAGTCACCATCTTGCCTAGTAAAACATCTTACTGCCTTTCCAGTGCAATAGTAATTTTCCTTGTTATTTATGTGTTGATTCATATTTCATGCATCTATGTTTTCAAAACTCCTTCATCCATAATTGCTTTTGGAAGCAGTTCTTTTACCACATATGTTTGACCCTTGTAAGGTAACTATAGTAAAGTTTTACCACCACTATGTCCTTGATTGGTTTGTTGGGCTCAAAGTTATGATACTATCCATTAACTAAGAGGTATTATTTCTAATCTCCTTACACATTTTAGCTTGAATGACTACAACCGCCGAGTCACCCTGTGTAATGGAACCTATGAAGGTTTGTTGAAAAGAAATCAAATGGGAAGAAACAGTGAGAAATTGCCAACTTTAAAAGACATACAAAATTGCCTGTCTCTCAAGAAGTTTGACAATCCTCCTTTCTACCGGAACTCTACCCTCAGCTTCAGGTTGGTGCTCTGATATCTGTAGTTTATAGTCCTTTATAGATTTCCATGCTTGTAGTTGTAATACATGGGAAGGAAAGCTAGATGTTGGGAGACATCAAAACTCAGTAATAGGGAAGCACTTTGTAAGAGGGTAGCAAGGCATAGTGTTACCTATCATTAATTGTGTTTAGTTGCTTAGTAGTGTCTGACTCTTTTCCACCCTATGGACTGCAGCACACCAGGCTTCCCTGTCCCTCACTATCATTAAGAGTTTAGTTTTTATATCTTCTAACTCAGCTATTCAAAACCACCTTTTGCATTCTAATTTCTATACACATATAAGTACAGTCTTTAGAACCCTGGTACCTCACCTATTAAATAGAGTATTTTTAAAATATTTTTTTGTGTTCTTTCTTCTTCTTTTCTGCCTTAATGAAATATCAGTCATAGACCTTAATGTTTGGTTCTGAGATCTTAGAGGAGTAAAGAATCTGCCTGCCAACCCAAGAGACAAGGGACTCGGGTTTGGTCCTTGAGTTGGGGAGATCTCCTGGAGAAGGAAATGGCAACCCACTCCAGTATTCTTGCCTGAAGAATCCCTGTGGACAGAGAAGCTTGGTAGACTATAGTCTGTGGGGTCACAAAGAGTTGGACACGATTCAGTGAATGAGTACATGCACACAGACTAAATGCTACTCAGATTACAGCACAGTAACGACATTATGATAGTTGAAATTTAAAGGCCAACCAGTGATTTTCTCCCTCTAAAAAGATTTTAAGAATTATGAGAAATATGTATGGCTGTGGGCTTCCCTTATAGCTCAGTTGGTAAAGAATCTGCCTTCAAAGCAGGAGACCAGGGTTTGATTCCTGGGTTGGGAAGATCCCCTGGAGATGGAAATGGCAACCCACTTCAGTATTTTTGCCTGGAGAATCCCATGGACAAAGGAGCCTGGCAGGTTACAGTCTGTGGGGGTCACAAAAGTCAGACCTGACTTAGTGACTAAACCACTATGTGTGGCTATAAATAAGATTTTTAAAAATTTTGTTTATTGCTTACTTGGTTGCACTGGGTCTTAGTTTCCCCATGTGGGATCTAGCTCCATGATCAGGAACCGAACCCAGGGCCCCCTGCTTCGGGAGCATGAAGTCTTAGCCACTGGACCATCAGGAAAGTCCCTATAAATAAGATTTTAACAAGCTTCTTAGAAGATCCAGAAAGGAATGTGGATAGATTCATGGTTTTCATGACTAAACCCTGCAGTAACTGTTCAACTCTGAGCCCCTTGTGTTGCTCAATTGTGTCCGACTCTTTGTGACCCCATGGACTGTAGTCCACCAGCCTCCTCTGTCCATGGGATTCTCTAGGCAGTACTAGAAACTGTGTCTCCTTATGCATTTAAAAGTGTATGAACACTCAGTTGTGTCCGCCTTTTTGTGACCCGTTTGACTGTAGCCTGCCAGGCTCCTCATCCAGGGAATTTTACAGGCAAGTAATACTGGAGTGGGTTGCTATTTCCTTCTCCAGGGGATCTTCCTGACCCAGAAATTGAACCCACGTCTCTTATGTCTCCTGCATTGGTGCTATTTCCCTACACAATCTGAAATTAGAAGACTGTTACCTAGGCTGGAAACAAAAAGAGAGCTTTCTTTGTCAGTTCATGACTCTGGTTACTGAAATACTGATTTCTCTCAGGAATGCCCTGGAAGGGTTTGACAAAGCAGATGGGACCCTGGACTCTCAAGTGATGAGTTTTCATAATTTGGTTCATTCCTTCCTGAACGGGACAAGTGCTTTGCCACATTCTGCTGCCAATGATCCTGTTTTTGTGGTATGTTCAAAGACTCAGACCAGATGAAAAATGTTCTAGATAATGTGCTGGATTTATTTGCTTTTCAACAAGATTAAAGTTTGGTGTGTGTTTTATTCTCTGTGTGAACAATGGGATGTATGCATATGTCAATTAATTTTAATCTACACCATACGGGTAGTTAGATAGCGTTTGAAGTCCCCTCAGCTGTGCTTTAGAGATGGTTAGCTTTGGGATGACCCTGGATGGGAGTTTACAGTCCAGAGGTGGATTCATAAATTAACTTAATAAGGTTACTCATGCGTGTGTGCTAAGTCACTTCAGTCGTGTCCAACTCTTTGCAACTCAGTGGACTGTAGCCTGCCGGGCTCCTCTGTCTGTGGGATTCTCCAGGCAAGAATCCTGGAGTGGTTTGCCATGCCCTCCTCCAGGGGATTTTCCCAACCCAGAGATCAAAGCCGCATCTCTTACATCTCCTGCATTGGCAGGTTGGTTCTTTACCACTAGTGCCACCTGGGAAACCCTAATAAGGTTATAAATTATATCATAACTTAACATGAGCATCAAGAGGAAGGATTTTTCGTTGGTAGAATGAGCAGTGTTGAAGGTAAGTGATGGACTAGAAGGACTGTGCATATGCCATGACCCTGGCATGATGCCCACCTACCTGAGGTCCAAAATTCTGTTTAGTGTTGGGTCCTGACCACCCCCCCCCCGCACCCTTCACAACTGCTACTGCTAAGTCACTTCAGTCATGTCCGACTCTGTGCGACCCCAAGGACTCACTAAAAATGTGCTGCTGTTCTTGCCATCAGAGGATCAGAAATGTGGACTATTGGTCCCCGCTTCTAACAAGGTGAGGGGTTATCTGTAAATCCTCCATCGTCATCTTTGCTCTTCTGTAAGACACCTGCCTTGTTCACTTGTTCTAATTTGATATCTCACATCACTTTCAGGCCATCATTTCAGCCATCAGCTATGCCAAATATTTTCATATCTACCTTCTCTGCTATCTAGCTATTTATCAATACTATATGTCTCTAAATTTTTATTAAAACATGCATTTTTAATTTGTACATAACAACCTTTATTCATAAGGAAGAATGTTATAGTACTCTTTACGCAGTACTCCAAAATATTATGAGACTAGCAGTCCTCTGACAAATTGAAGATCAAACCCACACTTCTCACTCCTACCAAAGGTAAATAGTGGTGATGGCTAGTAATTTGATTTTCAGTCGTAAGTTTCAAGGATTGCCAAATCTTATCTCCTTATTTTGAGGAAACCCACTAAGTGGGCTTCTCTGGTGGCTCAGTCAGTAAAGAGTCCATCTGCAATGCAGGAGACATGGGTTCGATCCCTCGATCGGGAAGATCCCCTAGGGGAGGAAATGGCAATCAATTCCAATATTCTTGCCTGGAGTATCCCATGGACAGAGGAGCCTGGCAGGCTACTGTCCTGCCTCAGTGGGGTCTCAGAGAGTGGGACATAACTCAGCAGCAGTATTTTGAGGAAATCCTACCAAGTCTGCAGGGTTTGACAACATTTTTCTGTCAGTGACCAGATAGCACATGTTTTAGGCTTTGCAGACAAGATGGTCTCTGTTGTAGGTGTGCAGCCTAGGCGCTATAGCATGAAAGGAGCCATAGACAATATATGAATAAGTGAGTGTGTTACCCAAAACTGGGATCATCTCATGGTGGGTGTTTACACAGAAAATACAGCCAAGCCAAAAATCAGTCGGGAGAAGGAAAGATTTATTACTTGTAGCAAGTAAGGAGAACACTTGGAGTCTTTCCCAAAGCAGTGTCTCCTGGAGGAATAGCAAAATTGGGGAAGTTTTAAGCTAAGGGTACATGAATATTCATGAAGGGGCTTGTGCATAGGAGAATTCAGCAAGAAGTGAAGTGAAGTGAAAGTTGCTCAGTTGAGTCTGACTCCTTGCAACCACATGGACCATACAGGCCAGAATACTGGAGTGGGCAACCTTTCCCTTCTTCAGGGGATCTTCCCAACCAACCTAGGGATCAAACCCAGGTCTCCCACATTGCAGGTGGATTCTTTACCAGCTGAACCACCAGGGACTCAGTATAGAATTGGAGCAAAGGTTGACAGAGTCTAAGCTTTAGTTGGACTTAGCTTTAGTCCAAGCTTAAGTTACAAGTGAGAAAAGGTTAGCATCATCATCTCCTAGGCTCCACTCATCTAGTAATTGAGGGCTTTCAGAAGAGGGTTTAGATTCTTCAGAACAGCTCAAGAAAGTGCTTCAGGTTAATCTTTAATATTGAAAGAGAATGGAGAGTCTTTACAATTGATTTGTTGTCTTTGCTATTGTTACTTCTCTTGTCTGGAAACAGTCAGTTTGTTCTTTTGTTCATTTAGAATTCTTATTACTGAGGCTTGTTCAAGGGCAAACATTGTGGCCAGGCCTAGATGGCAAAATGGCTTACGCTTAAAATGGTCTCTTTTATGTCAAAAGGCTATATTTGGTTCTTTCCTTTCAGACCATCCATCTCCTACCTGCCTACAAGTGTGGTGTTCTAATAAAACGTTATTTACGAGAATAGTGAGCCCTGTTTACCCCGCAGGCTTTAGTTTGCCAACCCCGGCTGGAAGGGATCAATGTCTTCTGTGTAGTACAGATATCTCTTTAGTCATCTTTCTCTTCCTGCTCTAGCTGGAAGCCTGCATTATGATTTTGTGGACGTGGGATTCCATGACTTAAATTAGTTCAAAGACACAAGATGTTTTATCGTCCTTGTCTTCATTACTTTTAATACCTTAATATTTTAAAATTTTGTTTTCCTTAGTATAAGTTATGTACATATAAATAGACAAAAAGCCTTTCTTTGAAGGCACAGAAGGAGTAATGTTTTGGCACCAGTTCCAGAGCTCACAATTACTTTAGACTATTGACAAAGAGTTTCATGTTGAAGCCAATTCAGCTTCAACAATATTGAGAGCCAGGTGAAAGCACTTAAGTTTACAGAGTTATGGCTTCTGAAATTTCAAATTTATGCAACATATTGCATATGACATTTATTAAATTTGTTTTTTGTGAACTCTCTTCAAGCAAGAGAAACACACATTTGTATTCGATCGAAATGAGTATAAGAAGGTATGATGTTAAAATGCAGGAAATACTCTGAACCAATCTCTGAAATTCTAATTTTAAGGTAATTGAAGGAAATGCACACATTTATCATGAAAATTAAGTTTAGGTCACAGGAATGTTAAATAGTTCTGTTTTCAATATCAAATTTGGGTATAATCTAGAAAAGAAAAAAAGGAGGGAAACCAATAGACTATGAAGTTAAATAGTTAACTGCCATGAAAGAAACTATGTTAGAGGATTAGTGACTTTGTGCCCAATTCCTAAAGAAAATATTCTTAATGATGTATTTGGATGTTATCCTTTTAGGAAAGGTACCTTTGGCAAGTTTTAATTCTTGGCGGGGAGATTAATAGGTTGCACAGTTAATATTTACTGAATAGCTCATGTGTCTGTTCTTCACCTTTTACATTAAAATTCTAAATGGAATTAAGACATACCAGCAACCTTATTTGGAGAAGGCAATGGAACCCCACTCCACTCTTGCCTGGAAAATCCCATGGATGGAGGAGCCTGATAGGCTGCAGTCCATGGGGTCGCTAAGAGTCGGACACGACTGAGTGACTTCACTTTCACTTTTCACTTTCACGCACTGGAGAAGGACATGGCAACCCACTCCAGTGTTCTTGCCTGGAGAATCCCAGGGATGGGGGAGCCTGGTGGGCTGCCATCTGTGGGGTTGCACAGAGTTGGACACGACTGAAGTGACTTAGCAGCAAGTACAAGAAATACTCTTGACTGAAATGTATATCACATATTCTATCATGATATACTCTTATTTATTTTCTTTGTTGAAGTATACTTGATGTACAATACTGTATGTTACAAGTATACAATTTAGTGATTCCTAATTAAAATTTTTAAAATTATAGAAAAGTGGGTTTCTTTTAAATATCATTTTACTTTATTTTAATTATTATTTATTTATTTTTGGAGGCTGCACCATGTGGCATGTAGGATCTTAGTTCCCTGACCAGGGATGAAACCTGTGACCTCTGCATTGGAAGCTCAGAGTTGTAACCACTCTTACCATCAGGGAAGGTTTTTAAGGATTATACTCCCTTGGACTGCAAGGAGATCCAACCAGTCCATCCTAAAGGAGATCAGTCCTGGGTGTTCATTGGAAGGACTGATGTTGAAGCTAAAACTCCAATACTTTGACTACCTGATGCGAAGAGCTGACTCATTGGAAAAGACCCTGATGCTGGGAAAGATTGAGGGCAGGAGGAGAAGGGGACAACAGAGGATGAAATGGTTGGATGGCATCACCAACTTGATAGACATGGGTTTGGGTGGACTCCAGGAGTTGGTGATAGACAGGGAGCCCTGGTGTGCTGCGGTTCATGGGGTTGCAAAGAGTTGGACACGACTGAGCAACTGAACTGAACTGAACTGAACTCCACTTACAGTTATTTAAAAACGTTAGTTATAGTCCCTGTGTTTTACAGTATATCCTTGTGGCTTATTTTATAAACAATAGTTTGCAGGGATGTTTTGATTTTTAACTTGCACATGCTAAATGGTTAAATGGAGCTGAAGGGGTTCTTTTCAATTCTAAATTTTATAAGGATAAACACATACTCTATGGAGAAGAATTAAACCTAAGAGATGAACTATATGCACTCCATTATTGATGAATTATGGAGTGGGAAATGGCAACCCACTCCAGTATTCTTGCCTGGAGAATCCCATGGATGGAGGAGCCTGGTGGGCTATAGTCCATGGGGTCACAAAGAATTGGACAGTACTGAGCGACTAAGCACATTGATGAATTAAGTAATATAATGGCAAACCATAATATATGTACATATCGAAGATGGTTCTAGCATTGATTGGAGTTCCTCTCTCCTAGTGCGTTGGAGGCTCCTTAGCCTCGAATGGCCTGGGAGTATCTCAGTTCTCATCTAT